GGCCCTGATCCGAGTGTAATTATTTGGGTACTTCGTGTCTGGCAATTACGTTCTGCAACAGGGTTTCTGGTAGCCTCTTGGTTGGGTGAGGCTACTACTTCAGATCATTTGGAAAAGTAGTCCATGATAACCATAAAGTACTTGTTACCGGATGTGCTCATAGTGAGTGGTCCCAAAATGTTGACTGCGATTCTCTCGAAAGTGCACCCACTGAGGTACTGCTTCAACTTTCCTCTTTGCCATGTCTTCAGACCCTTTCTCAAAGAGCACAGGTCACAGCGCTTACACCACTCTTCCACGTCTCGACGGCAATTGACCCAATAGTATCTCTCATGCACTTTCGCTAGAGTTCTATTTACTCCGAAATGCCCTCCAGTGCGACCCTCGTGAAGCTGTTTGTGGTTACTCGAGATACACGTCTTAGGAAGGATCATCTCGAATTCTCATGGAGTCCCATTGGAGTCAGTAACCCTTTTCCTGCTGGCTGTGCTTGGAAACCTCCTGCCATTCCGGCCTCACTCCTTTGTCAATCTATTCTCGAACAGTTTTCAAGACGGGATCCTCCTTCTACGCTACGATGATGTCTTGCCTCGTCAGGAAGGTAGTGTCACCCTCAAAGGCTGTTAATGACCTTATCACACCTTGATCAGGTGATTCCTCAAATTGGCTGTCCGTATTCCTGGACAAGGGACCCTTACAGGTTGCTACCCTACGGGTCAGAGGGAACCCGAAGCGACGGGAGGTAGGTGAGCTTATCTCCTTATCAGAGTTGTCCATAAAGGAGTTTCTGCCCGCTACCTTATCATGTCTGGTGGGAAGTTCTTCTTCTGGCAGCTGGGTATCATTGTCCTCCTGGAGTTGGCAAAATTTGCATTCAGATGTCAGGCATGGTCTCCTTGAGAGGCTATCTGCGTTTCCGTGACTCTTTCCTTTCCGATGTGGAATTTCAAAATCGTAAGTTTGTAACTTTTCGATCCACCTAGCTATTTGCCCTTCTGGTGTTCTGAAGTCCAAGAGCCATCGAAGTGCTGAGTGGTCTGACCCGATCAAAAATTTACGGCCAAATAAAAAGGAGTAGTAGTGATCCACCGCTTTGACTACTGCAAGTAGTTATTTTCTAGTAACGCAGTAATTTCTTTCGGACGTTCCCAGGCACTTACTGAAATAGCTGATGACGACTTCTTCTTCCTCTTGTACTTGGGAAAGTACTGCTCCTATTCCATGTTGGGATGCATCCGTGTCCAGTATAAACAAGCCCTCCTTTGGGTATGCCAGGATGCCCTAGTCAAATATCTCTTCAGAGCAGTCTGGAGATCAAACGAAAGGTGTTTGTTCTCTTATCAGTTAAGCTATGCAGCGGTCTGGCGATTTTTCCAAAGTCCTTCACGAAAAGCGGTAATAGGTACAGAATCCAAGGAAGCTTCTTACGTCGTGCTTGCTTTTCGGTATTGGTCATTCTTGCACTGCCTTGATTTTTTCCGGACCTGTTTCAACTCCTTTTGATGATACAACGTGTCCCAAGAAATTCACCTTTTCTTGGAAGAGGCAGCACTTCTTGGGATTGATCTGCAAATAAGCATTCCATAGCCTCGTGAAAACACTCCTCAAATTTGACAGATATTCGTCAAAACTTTTTCCGGTGACTATGATGTCATCAAGATAGACCAGGCATATTTTCCAGGTAAGTCTTCTTAACACCAACTCCATCAAGCGTTCAAATGTTGCGAGTGCGTTGCATAACCCGAATGGCATAAACTTAAACTGGTATAATCCATTGCTGGTACAAAAGTCAGTCTTCTCTTTATCCTTGGGCCGAACTGCCACCTACCAATATCCACTTTTCAGATCTAATGTTGAGAACCATCTGCCTTCGGTCAAGATATTCAGGGTGTCATCTATTCTAGAAAGAGGGTAACTGTCCTTTCCGGTGACATCATTAGCATCTTGTAGTCTACGCAAAATCTCTTCGATCCATCTTTCTTAGTCACTAACACAACTGTTGACGACCAGGGGCTGTGTGGTTCCTCGATTACTCCTTCCTCCAACATGTCCTTAACAAAGGATGCAGCTTTGTCTTGCTTTGCGAAAGGAATACTTCTCGGTGGTTGACGTATGGGCTTGGCATCGCCAGTATCGATGCGATGTTGAACTAGATCTGTTCGACCAATGATTTTGCCCTCCACAAATATATTGTTTTTTTCCTCGACGAATCGGGTGGCCTTGCACAGTTCTTCTTCAGACAGATGGCTTCACGTCTTCTTGAAAGAGTCTATGAATTCCTTTGCGGGTTGTTGAGCACTCTGTAAAGGTGCAATTTTCACGATCGGTTCGCAGATGCCTATTACTTGCCCTTTCTTGAGAGTCACCTTGTTATTATTAGGGTTGACTATTCTTACTGGAATGGTCTGATTGTTACCATTCACGAGGGATCTGGCCACGATAATTCGTGATTTAGGGCCATTGGATTGCTCTATCAATGCTGTACTCAAGCCGCCAGGTCCAGCAATTTCCTCTTGAATAATTTTCTCGGTGTTAGGAGGAATTCTGGAATTTTCCAGTACAAGCACCTTGACGCTGTCATAAGGGTGAGAGGGCACGTCGAGCAAAATTTCCTCATTTCTGACTTTCAGCAGTTTGTTCCTTATGTCCACCACGAATCCGTAGGGGGAAATGATGTTTAGTCCCAGAATGAACTCGTCGACGATGTTGACCACTAACACTTTAGTTTCTATTTCGCAATTTCATACAGCTGCACTCAAAATTGAGTGCACCTCACCAAGTGAGTAAACTTTGCTGGAAATCTATCAATTTTTAGTTTTTATTTTATTTTAGTCGTTCAATTTTCAATTTTTCACTCAATTTTTATTTTATTGTAATTTTATTTCAAAAGTTTTGCCTAATATAATTGTTATTTTCAGCTATTCTTTTTTATTTTTCAATTTTAATTTCCGAACTAATAAAATTCACCATGAAACATTGTCCACCACCTTCAAAGAAACATTGGTCACCATGTTGTGATGATTACACAAAATAATTTCCTTATATATGCTCCATCTCTACTTAAACAAATCAAATTGTGATCATATTTGATGGATTTTAACTTTTGGCACAGCAATAATCTTGCCAGTTGACCATTGACCATATTTCTCACAATCATACTAATAGCTACGTGTAAAATCTAACAACACTTACAGGACACTTTTTAGATGACTTTATCCATGGTTGGTACTTTTATTACAATTGGGATTAGATTAACAGAGAAGAGTAGAAGAACACTCTGTTGTACTTTTCGATATACAAACAAACCAAAACCTCTATTCGCAACTTTAACACAAAGCGAATTGTCATATCCAAAAAAAAAGTTTTTAATGAGGCAGAGTACAATCTAGACATACGTACCAAATTCGTAACGAGAATTGTATAAGTGAGGCTGTTGAAATATTGAAGTATGATTTATTTATTCATGATGATAATTAAACAATTTTCACAAACATTTTATTTATTTCTAGAGGCGTTTCGCTAACACCGTAGCTCCCCCGGTAGAAATGAATTCATTTCTACCAATTTTTCAAGTAATATTCGATGTTTGATTTTCGATTGTAAAATTATTAAGGGCAAATGCTCTTTGAATATGCACCAGTCCTCTACTGCCAAAATAGTTCAGTTTCAAATGTGCCAGTAGCACTGGGTGTTTTCCGGCGTTCAATCATATTCGAGCATGTATTCAAAAACAATTCGTAGTTACGTCATTAATGATAAGATTGACCATACTAGAATGATTCAGTTTATGTCAGCTGTCAAATTCAATAATAAAAACAAACTTCTCAATTTTCTCTAACGGAGAATTACAGACGAATGCGTTTTAAAAATAATGAGCGCCAAAAAACGCCTACTATTAGCGATGTCATTGGTACCAATTCGAAATAACACATTATAGCGAATGATTAGATTTCATAAGGTTACGAGTAGTAATCGGGTTTTATATTTAATTTTTGGCAAGCCCGATCTCTGTAATAACTCTCAATATCATTAAACAAAATAATGCCAGGATGTTTACCTTATCGTGAGTCTGATCACCCGGTAATTACCCGAAATAAATTTTAGAAAATTACCAGGAAGATACTCTAATTACCCACGATCCTGGTCATTGGCAACATGGCAACACTGAGATCGGACGTCAAGTCGAATGCATGTACAAATGCTATCTTCGTTTATTGTGATTATTGATCTACTGGCAGTGCTGCCGATTTCGAAGTTGCTCTACCATTTTTAACAATTTTTTTTCCGCAAAAAACCAAAGGCGAGTGGATATAACTCACATTCGGGGAATCATTTTCTGATTGGTTAATTCAAAATCTTAGACAAGGAAAGATTTACCTAATCTAAGTTCAAAATACATTCAATTACCATGGGTCAACTAGAAAGGCTCATTGAAAGATCGCTGAATTAACTTGACACACCTGCTTGGCTCAGTTCTCGCATGTAAAATTAAAAAAATTTGAATCCAATTTCGGAATCAATGAATAGTGTTGCGAATCCAATACATATCAGAAGATGAATATTTTTTATTTTTTCATCATGAATAACGATGAAATTGGAAGCTTTGGTGTGAAAGTTGAATAACTTTTTTCGAGATTGCCCTAACACCAAACTGATATTTTTGCACTCGACGCGCGTTTCGCCAACAAAGTTAGCATCCTCAGGAAAAGAAGATTGATCAATCTCCTAACACCAAACTGATATTTTTGCACTCGACGCGCGTTTCGCCAACAAAGTTAGCATCCTCAGGAGAAGGAATTGATCTCGAAAAAAGTTATTCATAAGTTCCATTGTCTTTATTGTTGAAGTTCAATGTATACATCAGAACTAGCCATAAAAAACTCATGATCCTACCTTATTCAAGAAATTATTTTGAATCCTTATTAAATATACCGCTTTTTTAGTGAACCTTTTATGGCTTTCTTTGACCTGGCATCACTGTCTACGTAAAAATCTATGAATAAATCTGCGCCTGCGCAACGCAACGGGAAACAGAAACAATCGCTTGTGATTCTTCTGAAGTTCTCTTTTCCATTGGACTTCGAAGAGGTAACATGTATTTCATATTTGTCCTAGATATAATATTTATTTATTGTTAAGTTCTTTTGAGTGTTGCCTTGTATGAAAATTGTATTTTGACTCATATTTTCGAATTTTGCAGATTCTTCAAGTCCACTAGCGAAGAAAAATATACCCAAGCAGGTACCCAAAGTTTCATATCTTGCAAGACACCGTCAGCAAAACAATTATTATGTGAGTATAAAATGTCATTTCAATAGTAATTTACAATCGACATTCTTTAAACAATTATAACTTTGATTTGACGAACCAGCAAGCTTTTTCCACTTTATTATTGATAGAACCTACATTGCTTTTATATAATTATGTGAAAGTGATTTAGTTCGTGCGCCATTTTGAATTGAAGAACAAAGAGACCACACCCAAAACCCTAAAAGAGTACTTCAGTTAATGATTTTGGTTAGCAACAACCCATAATTATTGTTTGATTTGTTGTTTTTTACAATCGTTACTTTTTTTTATTGAATAGGTTTCAGTAATTCATATTGTGTCAACATTTTTCCTTTTATGATTTTATTGAAGATTTAGGTGGACGCCATTTTCATTTCAAAAATGACCCACCCAAAAATCGTGAAAGTGGTATTCATGCTTTTGGTTATAAACATCCCCTTGTTTTGTCTTTTCTGACAACTTTGCATTTCTGATTCTATCAAGTCCTCAGTTGCAAGTTCCACTGAAGTCTTGAGAATTTATACTGGTCAATATTCATTACCAGTATAAACTTAAAATTTGAGTTTTTATCATACAGCTATGACCTGTCAAAAATGTTCATTCATTTTGAGTGAAGCTTGTGGTAGAGCCTTGTATGCTATTGCGAAAAAGTTATTGTTGCAAATATGTAGCTGCTTTCAAGCAGACAACTTTTGTTACTGAGAATGTTTTAGAATTGAATTGATAAATTTTGTGAACGTTTCAGGTCTTACAATCAACAAAACGGTGGTGGGTACCAAGCACGTACTGGCTTCTCTGGTCCTCCAAGAAGTGGCGACAACAACTTCAAAAACGCCAATGGAAGCTTTAGAAACAACTCAGGTGGGGGTGGTTATCAGAACCGTACTGGAAGCGGTGGTTTCCAGAATCGTAATGGAAGCGGAGGTTTCCAGAACCGCGGTGGTTTCCAAAATGGAGGGGGCTTTAGAAGTGAGGGTGGATTCAGTAATAACCAAGGTTATGATCAAAACGGAAAGGGTTTGAGAAAAGTTGAATGGGATAACAAAACATTGCGTCCATTCAACAAGGATAACTATGTTCCACACCCAGCTATAGTGAGTCGTTCTTTGGCTGATGTTGAACAGTACCGCAAACAGAAGGAAATATCTGTCGAGGGCGATGCCCCCAATCCTATTCAAAATTTTGATGAGGCTAACTTTCCTGAGTATGTTATGACCGAAATTTTCAACCAAGGGTATGAAGTGCCTACTCCTATTCAGGCACAGGGCTGGCCAATCGCTATGAGTGGGTTGGACTTGGTTGGTATTGCCCAAACAGGATCTGGCAAAACTTTGGCTTACATGTTGCCAGCCACTGTTCATGTCAATAACCAGCCCCAACTCAGCTACGGAGAAGGCCCCATAGTCTTGGTGCTTGCACCTACTCGGGAACTTGCCCAACAGATCCAAAAAGTTGCTGGTGATTTTGGAAGGTCTACCCGTATTCGTAACACTTGCATTTTCGGAGGTGCTCCAAAGGGACCCCAGGCCCGTGATTTGGAAAGGGGGGTTGAAATATGCATTGCTACTCCTGGACGTCTTATCGATTTCTTGGAAAAGGGAACTACAAACCTGGAGAGGTGCACATACTTAGTTTTGGACGAGGCTGATAGGATGCTAGACATGGGTTTTGAACCTCAGATCCGAAAGATTCTTAGTCAAGTCAGGCCAGATCGTCAGACTCTCATGTGGTCTGCTACATGGCCTAAGGAAGTCAAGAAACTTGCCACAGATTTCTTGAAGAACCCCGTGCAAATCAACATTGGATCTAAGAACCTCTCTGCGAATAACAACATTATTCAGATTGTAGATGTTTGCCAGGAACATGAGAAGGAAACAAAGTAAGTTATTGTTATCAAAAGTAAAATCAGCTATTTTTATCAACATTTATATTTTTTTGATGTAATATTTATGAGTTTCAAGAAAAGAGTATTTATAATTAACATAAATCGTATATTTAGTGTATGGAAAAGTATAATTTATAATATATTTTGACTTTTAAAAGAAAAGAAATTATAAGGAAAATAAGTACAATATCTGAGTAGGTCAATATCTCGAAGCACCACAATGTAAAAAAAATACATTTAACTCACTCTTTATCAAGTAATTAAGTCTTACAAAATGAATTTCTTGAATTAGCAGCCTTGTTGAGATTTGCCTATGCTTAAATTACTAGGTTCACACTTTGTTCTTTGTTTCTGTTCTAACTCCTTTATGGTTCAGTTTACTACCTAGAGAGGTTTCAGCCATGATAAATTTCAAAGTCCATGAAACACAAGATAAAAACTATTTTTTCATCAGAATATCATTAAACAAATTATACTAGCAGTCATTACTAGAATGTTATGTTTAGCTATAATATATTTAAATATATTGAATACATTTAAGAAAATATTCAATAATGCTTTGATTTTTCAAACATATTTGTATCAAGATTCAATCAACAATATGTTGATTTGAGTAGCATTAATATTTCTTGTTTTACATATGAACCATATTGTATTATATAAGTGAACCTATTTGAATATATATGTAATCGAGTAGCCTTGCTCAGATCTAAGATTCATCTAAAGAGAACATTCTGGTATTTTATTAGGATTGTAACACATTTGGTGGCCAATACTTTAATATTCAACAAGAACATTGCCAAGCAATTCAAAAGTGTGGATAAAACAGCACACTTTTCAAGAATGTCTAAAACATTGTCCAAACTTAACGAAATTTCGAAAATCAGTTGGAAACATGTACCATGAATAATTTCATTATCATTCATTCAATTTTTGAACTGAAAATGTGAGATATGAAACATTAAATCAACAATTTTCACATGATGAGACAGCTTAATGAAATGACTGTGATTACCTTATCGCACCCTTCAATCCTCTAAGAAGAACTGACTAAATAAACCTATAAAAAGCCATGTTGGACATTTTTTCTTTCAATTAAATGTCAATTTCTTCCATTTCAGACTAGGCACTCTTCTGCAAGAGATCAACCACACATCCGAAGAAGGCTCCAAAATTATAATATTCGTTGAAACAAAAAAGAAGGTAGAAGGCATTACAAACACAATAAGACGTGTAGGGTGGCCAGCATTGTCAATGCATGGCGATAAGAGCCAACAAGAACGTGATTATGTTCTTAGGGAATTCAGATCGGGCAAATCCTCGATTCTTGTTGCTACTGATGTAGCTGCCCGGGGATTGGGTAAGTATCCCACTTGAGAGTGGGAACAGGTAAAAATCGGTTTACTTCGGAATCTACCCATGTTCATTTGTGATAAAAAAAATGTTGACCCAAGTCTTGGGTTTGTGTAAGTTGATAAAATAATCGAAAGTGGGCATAGTAGCATTTTGGGGGATTTCAGACTGGTTTAAATTATTTTTGAGTCTGACAAACTTTTGGACTTGAATACTGTATACTATTATTTGTTCCATTTTTAAGATGCTTCAAAAACTCTGAACTTGATTAATTCAACTGTTTGTTCATCTTTAAACTGGGGATGTGTTTGAATAATTGTGTACTTTGAATAATAATCAGTCTGGGCGCCCTTTTTCTTTTTCAGAGGCACAAGCACGATGAGCCCTTTGCAATTGTTTCTTGCGCCTCTTTGAGCTGTTTCGCCCTCTCCAGAGGACGCTTCAGCTTTGGAAAAATTTGGAGACCGATGGAAGATTTATGTTTTTTTGTTTTTTTTTTTTCAACCGGAAACCGCATCAAAGATACATTTGTTTTTCCTTCCCAAACTGTCAACCTGAAATATCATTTGAGCTTACCTAGAAATTAACTTGGCTAATTAAGAAAGCTATCAGTATTTTGAAATATCAATTTCTAGGGAAAAGTTAGAGAATTCTATGCAAAACTGATTTTAATTTTTTTTTCAAGCGTTTCAAAACTAACTTGCTAATTCACTAAACCACTATATGTTAGTGTCTTGAAATATACATTTCTAGAGTGAAAATTGTAAATATTTTACCTAACTCTAAAAAATCTGTAACCCTTTTTTAAAGCTTCACTTTTTTCATTGTCATCATTTGAGCTGGATCCTTCCGAACCTCATCCTTAACATTGTTCTCCCTAAACAAAACTCACACAAAACGCCTCAGCTGTCAACGTGGGACGTTTTGCACATTTCTTCACGAAACGGAATGTTATTCAAATTTGGTGTATTTGTCTTCCTTCCTATTGGTCGCTGCTGCGATGTTTGAGTAGACTGAAAAAATTGTTAGTAAGTCTTTGGATTTACTACTGACGGAAGGTCCACTGAAGCAGAGACGGCAATTTTTGCTACTATTCCTTGAAATAGATTTATCGGGTTGATACACACTCACATCACAACTTCATGGATTTTCCTTTGAAACTGGTTAGTATTAGATTTAAGTTTGAAAAGGTTTTGTGCTATGATATGTTAGTAATATGGTACTTGCCTAAGGAATTTGAGGGGATTTATTTCGGATATTGTTTAGTTGGAGGGCAATTTTTTGTTATTTTCATGAACAATTTAAATCTTAGCATGGTTTCAATTTTATTAAAACTAAGACCTATATTAAAATATTTTTAGTAGAGCTTATTTTGATATTTTAGAGTATTCTTACTTCAAAACTACTTTAAAAAGATACTTAAAATAAGTTCAACAATATTATATTGAAAAAAAAGGTTCTGCAAGTACTGTATTTTCTGAACTGAAATAGTGATATGATAATAAGTTGAAAATACAATGGATTCATTTGAACATGAGTCAAATGAACTATCAAAGATATAGTAATTTTCCTTTGAAAGAAGTTTTGAAAATGATTTTATGATTTTTTCATATAATAAAGTTTGTTTTCACATCACTAAGAAATCATTTCATATTAACCTTAACAATCCTTAGTTTGACATGAGGCGACTGACATTTTTGTCATGAACCAAACATCAAACTTTCGGAAAATGTATTAACAAATCGAAGAAATTTCTTGGCAATAAAAACAATAGTTATGAACGAAAATTTTTTACCCTAGGCCTCTAAGATTGCATTCGTTTATAAATATGTAGAAATTTCTTTGATTTGTTTTGGAAGGACACATTCTAACTTCATTTTCTGATGCTTTAGATGTGGAAGGGATCAAATACGTAGTAAATTACGATTACCCACACACATCTGAGGATTACATTCACAGAATTGGTAGGACCGGTCGTTCTGATACCATTGGAACATCTTACGCCTTCTTCACTCCCTCAAATTTCAAACAGGCCAAGGATTTGGTGTCTGTACTCAACGAGACCAATCAGGTAATGTTTTTTGTCATGCATTAATTTTACCATTCACAATAAAAAAAATCGAAATTCTAATGAAAAACTGTACGAGTGTATAAAACATTTTCTAGTTGATCCCAATTAGTTACTGCGTAAATTGTAAGTATTTTTATAAAGAAAAATGTTGGAAAAAAAACCGATTTCTTCAACAAAAAACTAATTCCTTCAAAATTTATTTAACATCTTGACACACTAATACTGGGGCATTGACTCCTTTGAAACAAAATAAAGTAATCATCATTTCAATTAACAACTCTTAAGACTTTGTGAAATATGTTGAAGACTTTGTGAAATATGTTGTTTTAAACAGATATTTCTTGGAAAATATTGATTTATTCCAAAAGTTTTAAAAGGTTATAAAATTTGTTTTGAAAGGACAATGCAATAAATTTTCAATTTCTTCAAAATAAAGTTTTCCAAATTTTTACTAACGAAGCACCTCATTATTGATATTTTCGAATTTATTACTTATGCATTTGAAAATTATAAAATGAAGCGGATAACAATTTTCAAAAAAAAAAGACTCCGTTTTACTAATACCGTAGCTTGCTTCCATTGATTTCTACAGGGAAGACTACGGTGTTAGGGAAACGCCTCCAAAAATGAACAATTTTTATGGAAATTATTTAATTATCATGGATAGATATGCTCCGATTTATTAATATCAAAGTTTTCAATGTAATTCAATGTCATTTAACAGTTTTATGCTTGATAATGGGGTCAAACCCAAAACCAGTCATATAAATAAAATTTACTAGTGGTATCTAGACAAAAGTGTTTTTATTCATTTCATTTAAGCGATCATGAATTACCATAAAGTAAACAAGTCATCAATCTTACATAATTTCATTTAACTAAATGACAATTCATATTTCTGCACTTAATGTACCAAAAATAATGAAGTTGTGCAAGTATAGAAAATATAATAACCCTTTCAATTTGGCATGCCTCAGCCTAGATTTTCAGCTCTGCATGAATGCTTTTGGAAGGGAGATCACAATTTGGGAAATATGCCTTCGGTGTTCACACGTTTCTTGTCTGGATCCCATCCTCAAGTTTCCCAACATTTTTATTGAAAATAAGTAGTTACATTCTCATTTCTTTTCAACTATTATCACCATGTTCAATTCTTTTTTACAGATCGTGAACCCCCAGCTTTCTGAGATTGCTAATAAGCTCGGCAACTTTGGTAGAGGTGGTAGTAGATGGGGAGGCGGCTTCAACAAGGGTTCTGGTGGTTTTAACAAAAGGCCTGGTGGTTTCAATAAAGGTGTTGGTGGCTTTAACAAACCTAGCTTTTCCGGATCGAATTTCCAGAAGATCGGCGGATATAGTGGAGGATTTAATAAACAAGGTAAATTCGCAATTGGTCATTGAACAAGCTCAAGTAATCATAACTTTGTTTTTCAGCGTACTAAGGACAATAGGCCTGAAGTCTTGGGTATTTATGCAACTTGAGTAAATTAAAATTATCGATTCAGTATTCATCTTCAGATGCATTCCATGCATCTTTTTAATGTTTAGATTGTGGTTTAGATATTTATATTCACTGCTGTTTAAGGAATGAAATATTATTTATTTCCAATTGTCAACTAAATCTTAAGGAACTTTCAAGGTTGGTTCTAACAGTAAACTTTATATCTTTAACTGTTGTGAGAAAACAAGAAAACGATCAACATCTAACTGAAATTTGATAATTTTTTAAAGAATGATATACTTCTTGAGATTAACATTTCTCAGAAGTGATGAGAATAAGATGGTCATTTGTTTTGAGAGTGAAAAAATAAAACTGAAAGGTTTATTTGAGACTACTTTACTGAAGACCTCTTTGATGATGCCTCTAGTGGAGGTTGATATGAAGTTTGTTGGAACTGAACTTTTTTCGAATTTCTGTAAGGCAGTTTTTTTTCTCTCTCAATAGGAATTATTATTTATTTTGACCTGTGATAGAATATAAATATTTATTTTTCGGAGTTTTCCTTGATTTCAAGAGAATCTCATTTTTTTGTTCCTATTAAGTGTCAAGAAAATAGATGAAATAAAGGATAGTTCCAATGTGTTGTTTTATTTCTAACAATACTGATGGATTTTCATTCCATCAAGTGGGTCGAGTTGGTAAGAAAGATGAAAAATTGAAAGATTTTAATGAAACCTGAAAATGCAAATTTGCAGAAGTTGATTTGGAAAATCTGATACAATAGCTCTTAAAAATCCTCTGGTTCTATAGTCAATGAACAAATATTTATCCTCCCTTATAACGGGTGATAAAGAGTTATAGGATTTGATTTTCAAAACACGAAAAAATTGATGAAATCTATAGAACGTTCAATATAATTTAATGTTTGAAAATTATTTCATGCAAATGTCCGCGGCTCCGCTTTACATGACCATGCGCAAGGTCAAATTTTGGCACATTCTAACATCGACAGGTATTTCACGTATAAATACTTCAAATATTGGCTGTCAGACTACAAGTCAGACAAACATCAGTCCAAAGGTTAAGGGAGCCAGGCTCCAACCTGTCAAAATTCAAGATGACCTCACAGACTACAGAGCGTTAATAGTTGCTGGTTTATCCCACCGACATAACCAACAACTAGACTGCTAATGGTCATATCATATCCCAGCCAGATACTCGAAAATTGAATTTACGAAAACGTGTCTACGCAATGCGCAGATGGCTCAAAGACTGTCATTTCAGACGTTGACACATGGCTTCGACCATTTGGTTCATAAGCGTCGTCGGCTTGATTATTAGTGAAAATATGAGTTGTTTTGTACTTTGGTGTAGGAATTTTTCGTTGAATCACCCAGGTGTTACATTACAAATCTAAGTCAGTTATAATTCTAAAAACATTAATATCCAATACAATTATTTCACAATAGGAAATTGTTCGAATCTAGACACCACTTCAATTTTAACACTCCAAAGTATATCTAAACCAAAACAGAGAGAGTTGTCTATTGATGAGCTGGGTTCCATAAAGAAGTATGGGTTTAATCATGAGGAAGTAATAGATGATCACGATTATGGCCAAGAATTTGCATCCTTTTTTGATAAAATCACTGAAAATGTTTTGGTTCACGTAGCTGGTTTCAAAATGTACAAAATGTTTATTAGCAGTAGAAGTTGTTGTGAATACGACAAAAGATGATTGTATAGATTTTTCACAGTTATAGATAAGTAGGAAAAACAGGGGCGGATTGATCAAATCATCCGATGATGTTGTTTCAGTTATACGTTTTGTAGAATTACAGATCAAAATATTTGTATCAACAGCAGGTAATAAATTACCAAATCACAAACTTTTTTTCCAGTAATTCAATCTTCAATGTTACTTGACATTTATGCGTTTCAATAAGGATGTGTTTTCAGATCTAGATCTGTCACTTTTTCAGAAAACCATAAATCAATTCTTATCAAGCTCATAATACAAGTTTACACCAAATAGAGATTTCATGAATTTTCAAAGAAACAAACAGAAATTGAAAGGGGTGCTGTGATCGGAAAACAATTTTCCAAACAAAAATTGTTTCGGAATCAATGAAAATTGGAACATGATTTTTACACTCTATTGAGAATAAAAATGCAATAACAGGTTTTGGCTTTCTACTACTCCATCTTGATACAAAAAGTGAGAATTTTTCAACGAAAGGAAGGAAGCAATCAATTTTAAAATGGATGGAATACAAACTGAGTAGAGAAAAGTGTTTTTTGTATAATTCAGTGTTCATATAGAAGTATTTGTTCTGAAAGAATTATTTTCTTTCGTGTAATTCAATGTTTATGTGAAAGCGTAGCTGTTTCAGGAGGGCTCTTTTTCTTCCAATTTGTGTCTGAAAGTTACTTTGCATGTTCTACACATCTATGTCTATACATACTTCTTTCAAAAGTGATTGCTTCCTTCCTTTCTTTGGAAGATTCCCACATTTTTTTGTATCAAGATGGAGAGAAAACCAAAATCTTTCTTTCCCAAAAATTAATCACTCCTAAACAACATACTTATGTTTATGTTATGAGTACCTGGGTGTCCGAGCTTTGCTCGGTATTAATATTATTACTACTCGTCAATAGATATCAGAAAGAGTCATACATAGTACCTATTATAATACAAATGTTTATTTTTGTTTCGATGATTTCTCTATGAACATAAGTATGAAAAACAAGTATTTCAGTTGATATCCCTAAAAAATCCCCCTTTCCTGCGACACGCCCATGTGATTTGGAAACGTCATGAAACTTCATTGCGCATGCCTTGAAGGCTCACTGAAATTTCGTAAATGGACGAAGTTTTGTTATATGGGATTTAGCAGTATAGATTAAAGTTATGTCGATGGTTTATCCCTGTAGACATGAGCCTTATCATGACCCCTCAATAAATAGTCCAAAGGCGTTAAATCACACGATCTAGGCGGCCAATTGACGGGCCCCAAACGTGAGATAAACTGTTCACCGAAGGCGGCTCTTAATTGGGCAATTGTTTCGCGTGCCTGTGGCACCTTCTTATTGAAACCACATGTCAGGCATGTCCAATTCTTCCATTTTGGACAAATAGTCGTCAATCATCACACGGTAACGCTCGCCATTCATAGTAACGTTCCGGCCATTGTCGTCTTTGAAGAACGGCGGCGAACATTGGTCATCACGAACATTGGCGGATATACCCGCAATATTTTCTTCGGTCCTCACTCTATGTATGCGTGTTGGTGGTTTAATGTTCAATAATGTAAACTGGGTTCGAAATTTAGTCACAAGCTTCCGAATAGCTCCCTCAGTAGGCCGACGAAACTGCCCATAAATTGGAAGGAGTGCACGATGCACTCTCTTCACCGAGAATGAATTTTGATAATAAAATTCAATAATTTGCAAAGGTTGTTCATTCGTAAGTCGATTCATGGTTAAATTATAGACCAAACTGAACAAGGTTGACAATGACATAAGACACGATTCACACGTGATCTGTCAAAAACAGTGTTGCCAAAAAATATACTAACAGGAAAGTGCGCTTTCCGCATATAACTAGAACTAGAAAATGTTCGTAATATGTGGAGAGCGATATGTAAAATTATCCTTATAGATACAATGAATGTCCTAAATTCAGTCTAGCTTCTGTTAACTTTAGCAGCATGGCAAGACCCATGAGTTTGTTCATTTGCCCAGGCGAATATAATACATTTTTGCACCAATCCATTAGCTTCACCTAATATGTATAGTAGTATAGTTTCATACCATACTTATGGGATTTATGTTTGATGAACTGCAGACGTCCTCACCATAGAACCATTGATTCATCAAGGAACAGCTCTTTTCCTGGACTGTAAATAGATTTCTTCTTCCTATTAAAATAATCCATAATGCAACGTATCTTTCTTAATCGATCGTTGAAGTTTGTCATCGGAAAAATGTAAACATCTCAAAATTGATGAAAATTTATTTCTGGACATATTTATTATAATGGTGAAAACACGTACCGAGCAGCCAATGTTTTTTCCAGTAGTTTGTCAAACGGAGTAACTGAACTGTTCCTGTTAGTAGCAGAAGTCCAAGAAAGACTTTTAATTCAGGAACTGTCAGATTAGTACATTTTGTTATTCTAGACTGTTCTTTAATTTTTTCGGACAAAAAAACAGTTATTGCATAATTATTAGTTTTTCTAACAATTAATGCTGAAAGGTCAGTCGGTAGCCAAGTGTTCGGCGAGGGTGCTTTGTTCACTCACTCGAATTGACTGCCGTGTTGGTCGGTGATTCAAGCTCTAGTCTGAACGATCGATCTTCACTTGCTACCGCCCAACCCGTGTTAGGAATCACACTTCAAAGGGTAAGACCTCGTTAATCCTTAGCTCGCACAAGTTTCGACTTCTGAGGGTTGTCGTTCGTAGGGGTGCGACAGCTGGTTAACGGAAAAACAGATTTTAAACAGATTTTAAACAGTTCATCATAGAAAATTAACTGGAAAGCATCTATCGGATTTTGTCCAGTGGCTTCTACCCACCGACATAACCTGTAACCTTCTACCTTCTAAAAATGCTTGAGTTCGTCGACGTCCTGTCGTTCATCAACAGCAGTATGAGTTTGGGTAACATCTGCTGTTAAAATCAACTCTTCCGCACCATACAATTGTTTTAGTTCTTCAAATATTTGGGTATCTTCCGAATATTCATCACTCGACGAGGAACTCATTTCACTAATGTCACAATCACTACTTGACCTCGAACTTTCGTCATCCGATCTAGTATTTTGATAATCCTGATTGTCGCGGGTGCGAACCCACATTAACAATTAGTTCCCATGAACAACATTGACTGACAGTAGTTCAAATACAATATGTAATAGTTTAAATGTAGAGTTTGTTATTGTTAAAGTGGCTGTGGGGATAATATCCTATATCATTCATCATTTCACACAGGCAAGTTTTTCTTGTTTTCATAGCATTTTTCACTGATAATCAAGAACATTTAAATGCTTTAAACTTTTTTACCACTGTTCTAAGTTTGAAATTCAAGTGGTCTTTACTTTTGAAAGATAATTTTTTATCTTTTGATTTATTTGACCTAGACTTATGAAATCAGTGTACTGATATTATGAACTATAGAGATATTATGTCAATCATTTGTTTCTCGAATGGTTCCAGAAAGGTCATTTCTCTGAGGTAATACAATACATTTACTTGACCTTATTAATATCTATTATTTTGGTTTTGAAAAATATGATTATGGCCCACCAGAATTTTTCTTGCAAGAATTTATCTATTTGACGGTGAATTAATTTTTCTACGTTATATGACTGACTGCGAATAGTCATGATGTTTCCTACGTGGCTCGAGAAGTAATTAACATAACCTACTCAGAAAACCAGGGGTCATGGCAACAGTAGGTACTTTTCACATTGTTCATGATATAACAACCTATTTGAAAACAGGGTTTCAAGTCAAAAAAGTCCCATCAAAATTTCCCTAATATACAAAATTTATTTAATGATTTTCATTAAAAGCGATTTTCATTTTTGATCACAAGTGAAAAAATCATACTATGATCATTATTTTTCAATAAAATTCACAAGATTAACAATAATAATAATTTTCGTTCAATACTTTTTCAAATCTGAAATACAATTTTGTATGAAGTATCCCAATTATATATTTTGAGTCTGCAGTAGTAGCTGAAGAATATTGTTATCAACTATTATATACCAACACTCGTACCAACAGAAACATCTTTATTTCCGAAATGCACTTGACATTTCGGCATACAAGATTAGAATTGTTGAAAAGGGTACTTGGAAGTTTTTCAATGATAAATGAATAAATACAAATGGTGTGTACAACTGTGAAGCAAGTCAGTTTTATTTCTACAATCTATCGTTGTAATGAGCTTCTAATATTTAGTTGTGAGGTACTGGATAAACCCTTGCGAATACATATGCGTACATACATACACAATCTGTTTAAATTGTTTAAAATCTGTTTTTCCGTTAACCAGCTGTAGCGCCCCTACAAACGACAGCCCTCAGCACTGGAAACTTGTGCGAGCTAAGGATTAACGAGGTCTTACTTTTAACGTGTGATTCTTAACACGGGTTGGACGATAGCAAGTGAAAATCGAGCGTTCAGCATGGTGCTTGAACCATCGACTCACACATCGGCCGATTGACTAATTGAACAAAGCACCCACGTCGAACCGATCGGCTACCGACCTACAATATTTTATGAATTTATGTATTTACACCTCTGTCGAGGTGTAAATACATAAATTTGTTGAAAAATTTACTGACTATGAGTATTATTTTCCATAATTTTGCTTGTTTCGGATCTTGAAAAAAGGTGTGCATGTTCACATTTTTTCTGATACATAATTATAACAGAGACACATTAACAAATGCCTTTTCAATTCGTTGATCATTATGAAGAGTCATATTTTGTTATACATTTATATATGTGAAAAAAAATGCACTAGGTAGATGTAACAACAAATGCTTGAATGTTTATGATTAAGTTTTTTGGTGGCAATATATATCAAATATTCTCCTTATGCCCGACGTTCGAATTGCAATACCTAGATGTCACCCAGTTCATGGTCCTCCCTTATAGAAATGTCAGTCACAATTATCTTTGATTTTTCACATTTGAAGCAGAAAGTTGTTTTACGGAAGCGAAAGTGTCTTTATAAACAAAATAAAAATATGTAGCCTTTCTGTGCTTCCGTAGTATTTTGAAAACTTCAGTGAAATAGTTTCACTCCTATTTTGAAATATATTTCAATATAAATAACAAATATTCAGTGATTCAAAAACATACATTTAGTTCAGTATAGTAATTTACCTTCACTATGAACCATGAACACTTGGGGGAAAATAATGAAGTGGTTATTTTTCAGCTAATAGCTGAATTTTATGGTATTTTCTCTAGTTCAGTGGTCGGCAAGTAGTTTTAGGTGGGGTCCGGATACTGTGGGAAAATTTTAATGGAGGTCAGAAAAAAACAAATATTAATAATAACGTTTTTTATAGTTTGGTTCTCGAGAGAAACAGCAAATTCGAAGTATGTCTTCTAGGTGAGCGTTTGTTAATCTCGAACGATATTTGTTTTTCCGAAAATTAATCTTTGAGAAAGACGTTTCACAAATGTATGTCGAGTCAAACATAGTGGCCAAATTGATAGCTAGTCTTTTACACTTTTTAATATTTTTTTGGGACATGTTTGGCCCAAAATTCTTTTTGGATACCGTTATATACATTTGCAAAGACACACATCTTGCAAATCAATTATCTTGACTTGACAGCCACATCTGTTCATTTTGCCGCTGCATCAATTTCAAATTGAGATTTAAAAAACGGAGATAGCTTGCCGATCTCTGCAAAGTCTTGGAATCTTGTTACAAATTCGTTCTTATGATCGGCCACAAATTTTACAAACTCTGTAATTTTCTTCTTCAGAGGTCTCCTTTTTAAATTCAAGAATTGTCTGAAAATGAATAAATTTTTGTTTAACGATATCTTTTTCAAATATATCCAGCTTACGGCGAAAAGCAGACACGCTTTGTATCAGGTCACATATTAATTTTCCATTTCCTTGTTACTCTGTATTGAGCGCATTCAAATATTCTAAAATATCTTTCAGAAAAGCCAAAACCAGCATCTGTATCTGTAGAGTAGGGAGGGTGAGTGTAAGCCCACAGCACTTAGGCCACATGTGACCCATTGTACATCCTCCCGAGGAGTTGTCCCCCTAAGTCATCGTCCATCCTGTCCTTTCCAGGCAGGTGGACAGGTCACTGGGAGACATCTCCTTTACATCGGCAGGTGTAGGCCAAGACTCGCCGAACACACACTATCTTATTGACGTTAACTCCGGGCACTCGCATAGGACATGCCTGACAGTCTCATCTCCCTGTTCACACATTCTGTATAGAGGTGTGTCCACTAGCCCCATATTATGAAAGTGTTTCCTTAGTTGACAGTGGACAGCATATTGTGCTCGTTTTTATAAATTCAAAGTGCAAGAAGTGCAAGAAGGAGAATACTTCTTCTTTTATTAGCCAGTTGTCCATCACTTCTTAGAGTGTAGCGCTATATTTTCCATAAAGGGCTGCCTGGTGAATTATACACTGATACGATATTAGAACAGAATTTTTATCTCTGATTCTCTTTAATACACCTTTTTTTGCCAATCATTGCTGGGGCCCCGTCAGTTGAAAGCGAAACCATTTTATCATAACTGATGTTATATTTCGTAACAAAATCATCAATGGCCTTCAATAAGTCTTCTCGAGTGTTACCTTTCAACGGCTATATTGCTAGCAACTCTTCCCTAAAAATCTGACTCAATGTCAAAAAATCTTACGAAAATTGACATTGGTTCATCATTAACAATGTCACATAATTCATCAAGTGCTATGGCGTAGCAAGGTGCCTTTTGCAGAAGTTCAAGAAGAGTGTTTTCAATGTCCGCAGCTGAAATTTCAGTTCTTCGTGAATTACTTCTCGCTGACAATGGAATACTTCAAAAAGTGATGTAACTACTGCCAACATACATTCCTTCACTATCTCAAAATCTGAAAATGGTTTCTGGTGTTTATTAAGCGTTCAGCACACACGTAACGCAACTTCTGTGGATTTTTCTTGGTCGCTCATGCAACGAACTAGTAATTTTGTACTCTTTTCGTAAGAACTGAGATATGTCTGAATTTTTTCTTTACGAGCCTGACTGCCAAGAGGAAAGTTTTTGTGGAACTGCTGATGAGTTGTTTCGTAGTGTCGCTTCACTTTAAACAATAACGACAGTTATATTTCATATAAGGCACACTGGAACCGCTTGAGGCTTATCAGGCAGCGTGAAACAATATTATTCAATCCATTCTGCCAAAAACCTTCTATTTTCACTGTCGACTTTTCCTTTTTTAGGATCCATATCAACGTAGGTACAGAAAGAATTTTTATCAAATGAACGAAAACGATAGAAATCATAAAACAAATGTCCGGTTACTTCGTTGTTTGTGTTGCGACTGATGGCTGGCAGTCTGCTTTCAGTGCTTTCCCACTATCGACTTCGGTACGCGCTCGTGCTGAAGTAAGGTAAGTACGCGGTGCGCTGTGGAATGCTTCCGCACATATTTCCGAAAAAATCGTACGACGTTCAATCTATGGATGTTTCGTGTGCATAACAGAGATTTGAAAATATTTCAATCGCATCAGCCTGATTCGCACACACATAGGCTAGATAGGAAACTCATCTGTAGTAGGTAAAACAGGTTAACTAGGCAACTTGAAATAGAAAACGTACTACGTTAGATTTTATTTGTGTTATTTTAATTGATGAAAGTATAGTATACGTCATCTACGAATTTTTATATGTACTTGATATATAATACAATATTTGGGGCGGCCCGCTGTCGCAATCATTCCCATACACTTGTTGTAAGAGAGGAAAGGTCTCTTTTGCGGATGTACTGAGTTACACTGATAATTTAGTATTGCTCAATTAAAACAATTTTATTATTCCGTCGGCGCGGCACGAAGCTGCGACCCAACTGAGCAAGCTAGTGTCGCCAAACGGGCTCTAATGTGGAGATGGGACGTCAGGTGTTTCGGCTATATGGCGTTTGACCTTGAGGTGCGCACAGTTTGTCTCACGGAAAACCATTCCCGCTATCTTCTATCCACACCTCCCCTTTCAATATGCGAAATTCCTATGTCTGAGATCAAATTAACTATTATAGGTCTATGAATGATTTTTACGAACTAGCATTGTGATGGAGCAGATTTGTCCTTTCCATCGATAAAGTGGTAGAATTTTTGTAAGGATAGAATGAAGTGTCTTTAAAAATTATCCAGAAAGTAGTTGATGATAAGTAGTTGAAAACTAGTGTTTTCAATCTTGTAGAGATTGAAAGTTTTTCGTGTTTGTAAAATTTTATATTTATATATGAGTTTATTTCATCAGTTCGGTCGGACTATTTATAGGTCATTCGAGTGCTTTCACCTATTCCCTCTCCTATCTCTCCGCTTCATTGTTTTTTGCGGGAGATGACCGTTTGGCGGGAGTTGGTCGTTTTTTGCTTGATTAGAGGTTTCCATATGTTACGTATCTCTACGCTAGCTTGACTAAATGCGTTGTTGGACAATATATACGCGGCTTCTTTGATTCAATGTCAGATGTCAATGGAAGATGATCAGTTGGTGATCGAAACACGTGTCGAGATGTTAAAATAACGGTTTGGTGTTGGGAAAAAACTCCAGTAATATTCATGTAATGCAATGTTTATATGAAAGTAGTTCTTTCGAGAGATTTTTTCCCAGTTTGTATATGAAATTAACTTTTATGAATGATCCATTTTTGTGGTGAGTTTATTCTGAAATTAATTGCGTTCTTTCTTCCTTTGGACGTTTTCCCACAACCTTTATTTTCAGTCCTGATAACTGCGACCATTTTTCTGGTTTAGCAGGAAAACTACTATTCCAAATTATGATTATTGGTTTCGAAGTTTGAGTAAGAATTAAAAAGTTGTCGATATGTTGCAGTTGAATAAAATATTGAATAAATATTTGAAATGTGTTCCAAAAATATTCATTTTTTGATGAGAATTTAGTTCGTGTTCATGGAGGTTCTCAAATATGTATTGAACAAAAGCGAGGAAAGTATTGCAATTTTTCTAAAAAAAATCTGTTAGTCATTTGTGATGGAAAGTTTTCATTTTGACAGACTGTATATCACATGAAAAATAGCACTATGTTATTTAGAATGAGTTTGTGATCTGGGGTAATTTATATCTTGCGTGATTAGATTACATTGCGAAATTTATACAGGCCCGAATCAGAACCGAAGTTCAGGCAAGAATGCTTAATTGAAAACTCGAAAATTATTAGGAAAGGTTTTATTTTAGAATTATCCTCAAATGAAACTCGTTATATCATTAATTAACTGGTTATTTTTCGAAAGGTAGAAGTGAACCCTTGATGTAGAATAAATCCAAAACAAGTACTGTCCCCAAACACCAGAACTAACATAAGTCAAAAGAATGAAATGTTCAGATTCCATATGCGTTTTCAACCTCTCTTTTTAGTAATGGCAACTAGGTACGATCCATTTTCACAGAGCTATTCGAAATACCTGTTACCTGCCATGATATTTTTCGCCAATTGTTTTTCATTTGAAACTATGAACATTCAAAACATTGAACAATGTTTTGAATGTATTCTGTATTCTGTATTCTTAATGCTTCAACCTAAGTATGTTTAGGTATGTGAAAACTAATCGAAATTCTTCATATCAAAACTGTTGAAAATGCTTTCATTTGAAAATGAAGAGGATTGGAATTTCAATAATGATTGGTGTTTTTCACAATCTATAGTGTAAACAGAATCTAGTGAAAATACATAATATACGCGTTCAAGTTCAACTGAATATTTATCGCAGGATAGCAATTTCCAAATTATTATTTTCATAATTTTCTTGGTTGTGTTCGAAAATAATGTTTGTAATTGTATATATGTGCTACGACTTTGTTATCATCTCCATAATTTAGATTTAAAAAACCTCTATACTTTACACACATATTGACAGGACTGAACGATAATGAAATTTGATATTTCACAGTCCACGTGAATAATTTCACAGGACATTTTATTAAGATTTTTTTCATCAAACCAAAAAATTGATAGCTTTGCAGCCAAAATGGAGTTTTACAGTTATAACCGTAAAACTCCAAGGGTTTTATTATTATAAAAACCTTTTTCGGATCTGCCACAAAATTGACAGCCATAAAATTAACATCTATGTGTCATTGAGAAAATTGATTTCATTAATTTTATTGTTATATCAATGCTTCAGCTGAGAGTATTTCAGAAAATAATTTTTACGAATACCAACTAGATCAAAAAATTTTCTCACATAAATACCCATTTTTTAAAAAAATCCATACTATGTTATTTTTGAGCAATACCAATCGAGCAACCAGCGATAGATAAGACCAATCGTCCTACGGATCCGTGGCTTTATCGTGCTGGATACCCTCATGGTATGCCAAATAACACAGTCACTGAAAATCTCTCCCCCTGTAGAATTGGACAGTATTAGTGGCGCCCCTGAATAGTCCGATTCTGCATTCCATCAAGGTTCTGCATCACTACATTCACTCTCACTTATTCTATCTCAATATGAAATTCGTGTTAGTTATTTTCCTCGCGCCATTTTTGCAATGGTAACTATAATTTTTTCATCGTTTTTCCGTCTTTCAAACCTCGGTTGAATATTTTTTGTTTTCATTTGGTGTCGTAGCATCATGGCATTGGATTCGAAGAACTTACCGGTCGAGGTCAAAGACTTGTACGTACCGCCTATACAAGATGTAGCAGAAGGTTTGTTGGCATTTTGTTTTATTTTTCTGTTTTCCTTGTTCATTTATTTTTTTTTAGTTTTGAATAAAAGCTTACGTTCAAATTTTGAGGAAGTCAATGTCGAGGTCGTGGACTGTCCAGATTTGACTCAACAACCTTTTACATTGGCCAGTGGTGGTAAGTTCACAATATTTTCAGTTTTTTTATGGGAGCTATATAGGGTGATTATTGAATGGACGTATTCTAAAAACTACACCCAATAGAAAATTCTATCCCTTTTTCTCAAATGAAACATCCAGAAGGTTAACACATTATTGAAATTCATTAATATTGGAATTTTGCTAAACTATACCGTTTTAATGATATAATTTTATATTTTCAAAACTTGTACATTGTTTCATATAAAAAATAAAATTTAATTCATGAGAAAAGTGTTCAGTGTTAATAGTTTATAATCAATATCAAAATTGTTATAAAGAGTATTCAAACAATAACCGTGTTTATCGGAAATTTAGCCTTCAATCTTGGACTTTGCTCTTTTATAAATTATTACTCAAGACTAGTTTTCACTAGTCTGACAAGTCACTTTATAGAGAAGGGCCGTGTACTTTGGAAAATATATTTGACTTGCTATTCTATAACGAATGAATCTTGAATCATCCCCAACAAAGGGAACTGAGTCAGCGTTATACAATCTCATAACGTTCATAGACGTGCATTTATTTCTGATTTCCATTATTGGTATTCTCACAATATTTCAATACACTACAAAAACTATGATTATTTATTTCACGATTTTTTTAGTCTCAACATGAACTATCTTATTCAGGTTGGCTCGTTTTAGATATACTGTGATACTAAATGGACTGTTAATCAGATTCTAATCGAGTGCTCACTTTACACTAACGAGAGACTTCGGCATAATCTAGGAAATAATTTGAAAATAATATTAAGTGATAAATCAGAGCATACTCGATTAATAAACTTTCTCAGTGATGTGAGTGTAGATAGGGTAAAAGAGGGTAATGGGGGTCACTCAAGCGAGAACTCAAATAGAATTTTAATCATAAACAAACTATTTATTGCAACCGCCTTTGAACATCATTTAACTAACTAAATATCATTAGAAATAATTATCAGTCACTTTGGTAATCAACTTTGGATATAATAGTTAAAAAAACAGATTTGACTCACATTACACCAACATGGGGTAATGGTGGTCACTCTGGGGGCAATCACAATCAAAGAAAATCTAACACATCGCAGACATAACCTTCAGCTGAGTTCCACCCAGTGCATTTCGCGTGAGCCCATAGCCCACATGAGGTGCATCTGAACCACATCTCGTTGTTTTTATCCAAAATCATTGCATACTAGGCATCTAACTCCAGCATCTTCTATGTCGTCATCCTCGTCGTCTTGGGATAAGTCGTTAGTTCCACCTTCTGTTACAGAAGTTTCGTTCGTTTCTTGTAGTACTTGGCGCTCTGCCTTCTCAGGACCCTTCTTCTGTATTGTATTACTTTCTCCATGACCCTTACCTTTCCGTCTCTTTTTTTCTTTGCCCCCTTTTTCTTTTCATTTTCTTATTTCCTTTTTCTATCAGGTTTTCTTTAATTCCGTTGAAGTTCAGATTGTAGCGTGTTGGTTTTTTTAGCCGCCCTTTTTTGTATTTATAACAGGTGTTTACGCTGGCAACTTCATTAAGTCATGCAAATTAGCACTAATTTGGTATGACGTGCCGGGTTCTGGTGATACAATGTCTGGTTTCGAATCAAGTGGACCTACTTGTTTGTAAAGCGCTCTTGCTGGACTATCCTTCTCGAGCAAAGGAGTCAATCTTTTCCTAGGAAAAATAAACATCGGTGGAATGTTACCGAATACAACAAAATGTTTTTTCTTTCTCCCAACTGGTTATCGATTTTACTCCCTTTGGTAGCTGTTGAAATACCAGATTCGTCGCAATTATGAAAATTTTTTGGAACAAATCAATGCTTTTTCATCAGCTGGCTAAGTAGCTCATAGAAAAGAGTTATTTCGGATTTATTAAAAATTGTTATTCTGTTTATGTTGGTCGCCTTCAGTTTCCTAATAGAAATGTTATGTCTTATCATAAATGCATGCAACCAATCGCGTCCAGCCATTAGCTTATTTGAAAAAACAATATCCTCCCAACCCTTGTGTATTTCTTTTATTATATTCAGATTTTTCATGAACCTCAGGATTGGGAGGAAATCCAAAAATAATTGAACTCGGAGGCAACCCATACCTTCTGCCAGTGGTACATCGTGAAAAACTGTACGATCTGAAGGGAATTGCAAAGTTGGTAGAGTCCGATCCTGCTTTCATTATTGGAGCTGGTGCAGGTCCGAATCCTTATATTGGAGTTAATTGTGAGGTGAGTTATACAACAGAATTTGTTACATCTTCGTCTTCTGGAGTAGATGTCACATCAAAGCGAATTGAAAATGATAAAATAACTCAACTCAAGGACTGCACGACATGTTGTAGGTCCGAAAAGACTGATGTTCCCAACATACGAGTATTGCATAAAACTAGATTTTACCCAAAAAATAATTATTGTTTCAATTTTGTCCCCTTCAGATATGGTACACTTGTGCCAGTGTTTTTTCTAATCCTCAAAGCAGTTCTGGTATGCACTTTTTGGTATGATTTGAGCTTTCTCAGCGATTTGGTTTTTATCTTCTCAATCGTCACAAAACGTCGTTCTTTCATGGGTCTCTTCAATCTTGGGAACAGGGGGCAGGGAGCCAAATCTGGTAAATACGCGGGGTTAGGGCATGATTATGCTGTTGTTTTTGGCCAATAAATTGCCAACAAGCTATGACGAGTAAGCAAGTTCATAATCGTGATGCAAAAGCCATGAGTTGTTTTTACACAATACCGGATGTTTTCTTTGTATTGCTTCTCGCAAGCGCAACATACTCCTCAATGACCGTACGACCATGTGGCAAGAACTCCTGATGCACTACGCCAGTGTAATCGAAGAAAACAGTGAGCAGAACCTCTACATCAGATTGAACTAGGCGTGCTTTTTTGGTTTTGGCTCTCCTGGGTGTTACCATTAGGACGATTAGTCATAACCGTATATCCATCATTCGTCACCAGTTATGACCCTTTTATGCAAATCTGGATCGCCATTGACGTCATTCAACAATTCCTGAGCGATGCTCATGCGGCGGTTTTTTTGGTCAAAATTCAGCAAGCTTGGAACAAATTTCGCCGTCACACGCTTCATACTCAAAATTTCTGCAATACTCACATTTCCAAATCTTTTTTTGGAATGTTTCAAAGTTTCAAGTTTAATTTGTTCATCGTGTATATGGAATTTTTCTGAAAATAACCTAAAAAATAACTTTTTAGGGAATCTATAACCTAAAAATATCAAATGGAAGCGTCAACCAACAATCAAGAATTTCCAAAGTTGACAAAAATGATGATAAATCTGAACAAGAAACACTTCCCAATACAGAAACGAGATTAGCTCTTCTCGGAAATTTGTTGGTATCCGAAGGAAAACCAGGAAAGGTATAGTAACTCTAGTATAAGTATATCTGAACTGAACAATTTTCAGAGACGTATTACTGTTCCTAATAATATTTCAATCGGGCAAATGAAAAAAAATAATATAAACAAAACACGTTTTTTTGCCGACGTTTCGAACACAAAAATTATTTTATATATCGTAGTAGTTGATACTTGTCAAAATATAAAGATTTTTTTTTCAGATTGATTCGGCCGTTACTTGATGAAGATCCATAGTAAGTTCATAAACTACACCTCACGATTTGATCTCCACAAACTTTATTTGAAAAATATCACAACATGTGAATTGACTTGATTCACTTGATAAAGCTACTGTGTTAGCGAAACATGTTGTGATATTTTTCAAATAAAGTTTGTGGAGATCAAATCGTGAGGTGTAGTTCATGAAATATAAATATGTGCGTGAGAATGTTTGAGACACAATAATATTCACCAAACAAGAATCACTGTAATGAATGTTCAAATGTCACGTAGGTCAAACTGGGCGCTATTCAAAAAGTAGGGATATTAGACCATGTGAGAGACAGTAAAAAAATCAATGTTTTCAATTCTACAGCTTTTATTGAAGACACTGAAAAAATGATCGCTACTTCGACCTTTGGGAGTAGGCAGATTGATACCCCGGCGTCAAGTCACAAAACCCTTACAGCGTATCACTACCTGAGAAGGCAGGAGAAGGCTGAAGAGGCAAGCTAGAGGCGGTATCACCTATACTTCAGCATATCATATGAACTTCTCCGGAAACACATATCCCATCCCAGGATGTGTTTGTGGAGTTGTTTCCAGACTTTGTCTGTAGGTGGCTCAATGGTACATCATATTGAATCAACTGCAGATAGAGCTTATGACTAGTTGGAATTAATTTTGTTTGTTCGGGATATTCAGACAGTTCATTCCGTCTGAAGTGACCTTCCCGGTACTGACGAGGAGCTAGTACTTCGAAACCGGTCTATCGGTGGTCGTCCCGACCAAATGATATTAATTTCTGCTTTTTATATATAGGAAGTTACTTGCGACGAATCTTCTAAATGGAAGATGTTGCACAGGTGCCTAATGGTTTTACTTTAGTTTTCTGCCGGCATTAGCTGGGTTAGTAGTTTTTCTGTCGGGTATCTGCCACACGTGCCTTCAAAGTTGTAAGTTCACATGAGAGGCAAGGGTGAGGTGGGTTTCACCTTTACTTTGTGAACACCAGAAAGAAAATCGAGGTATTTCAAAAATAAGTATTTCAACTTATTTTTAACAATTTTTTGGCTATTCTAACAAAAAGGAAAATTTACACTATATCTTTATGATTTCTTCAAATAATTTTTTTATTACTTGTTTCATCTTCATACATATCGTTTGTTTGTATATACGTTTATCTAAATTGTGTCTTGCACTTATATTGCAATTGTAATTATTTATGCAATTTTTTTTTCACATGAAAATAACAGTTCGGTAAGTCACTTTTGTGCCTCAAACATTCTCACACATATCTTTATAATTGAATAGAATAGCTTTCTCAAGCAGAAAGCTGTTGTATAGGTTATTCATTTTGCTCAACTAGTCCATCACTAACTGAACTATGTTTTACAGACTGTAGAGCTAAATCTGAGAACTAATAAGCTTGTTGAAAAGCCACTGTCTTTTTGACCATGTCGATGGGTTCGTGAATAGCAGACGATACCAAACCTAGACTTTCAAATGTTAAAAAAAAATGAATAGACAACTGTTACAATTACTAAAAGTGAACGATTCTTATTTTTTCATTCAAGGTAATTAAAGTTCACGCAAAGAAACGAATTGGAGATGATAACTTCATAACGAGTATCAGAAAGGCTGTGGAAAATGCTTACAAGAATGAATTGGTTGGTAAGTAAGTTATTTACATAAATATTAATTTTGATTTATTTTGTGAAGAAATTGATCATTTTATCAGTTATCAGAAAGCATAATTCTCTGAAAATATTGAGAGCAGACCCGAGAAATGAAACGTATGTGATTCAATACCAAATAGCGCTGTTTCCACCCATCATAGGTCTCATGAGTAGTGGCTCATAGAGGCGGTGAGGCTCCCCTCACAAACACGCTTTCTATAGGATCAACAGAGGAATTAACCCACGAATATCAAAGATAAAGGAGATTCATAAGACGGTCAGTTGCAAAGCCAAGCTTCGACATCGACTGCCTTCTATCTTTCATTGCAGCTTTCACTGCAAGGGAATCAGATGAAAACAGAGCATTAAAACAAAGCATTTGTAATCTTACACTTGATAGCGCTGTTTACACTCATCAAAAGTTTCATCATTGGTGCTAAGCTGAACCACGAATGCATTACTGGACTCTAATATCCTTAAAGGAGAAGACAGAGAGTTTAAAAGATGGCATCCCAGAGATGGTCTCCCATCAATGGCTNTTTCTTCTGAACCAACCTTATGAATCATGAATGTTTGTGGACTTTTCAACCTATCTCGCAAAATATTTTTCTTCTTTCTTTGAAAGACCGCCCGGAAGATCCAAAAAGATCAAGAAAAAATGTTCATTCAACTACAAACCAGTTGACTCACGCTTTCACTCATTTCCTATACCTCGTTTATCTTTGATATTCGAGAATTAAGTCTTCTGTCGATACCAAAGATAGCGTGTTCGTAAAGGGAGGTGCCATCGCCTCCACTCTAAGGCTTGTTCCTTTTGGATGTGTTCAGTGGTTCAGCCTAGCAGCACTGATTTGACCTGGTGGGTAGAAACAGCGCTGTCTGGTGTTTCAGCACAAATTCATCTAGCTGCCTTTCAGTGAAAGCTGCAATGGAATGAATGAATGAATGAATGAAAGTTTATTGACTACCTTACATTACATAATGTTTGTAGTAAGTCCAAATAATATCTAAAAAGAGTACAACACAAAATCTTCGTTGAATGTTACGATTAAAGGTTTTACAATTTCCACAAAATTTTCTAATTTTCACATGTTGTCCTCTTCTTTCATAACATGTTCAATATATTTTCGCCATTTTTGGAATCGTCATTTTTCAATGGGGCCAAGTTCGCAATGATATGGGGGCACATGCAGAATAATATTTCGTTTTTGTGCCGTCTTGTCGACTACATATTCCGTGAAACAAGCTTCATTTGAACATTCTATAATCCTTAGTTCTTTTTCATCCATACTTCCATCAAATGGTATGTTTTTTGTCGTAGCCATATCTGCTTGTCTCCATGTATTAGTTACTCTTCTTCCAAATTTTTTGGAATGATAACTTGTATTATCCATCACAATCACCGAGTTATGTGAAATGACGTTTAATATCTGCTCAAAATATTATTCAAACACATCACCGTTCACGTCTATATGGTAATCGCTAGAATGTTTTGGCTCAAACATCAATAAACCGCCCTCAACAAAACCATTGAAAATTTCAATGTGGATAATAATCAGTCGCTTTCCTTTTCCAAATACTTGACGTGTACTTGTAATATTTATCCAGTTGCGAACATAGTTTTTGCAAGTTGTAGTGGATACATTTCCAGGAATATTCATCTCCAACCCCTCAAAAAGGGCTGTTAGAAGTCTCTTTTTAAAGAAAAACTCCTTAGTCTGATGAATTTGTGTTATTTTTTATGGGATTCCCTACAAAACGATCATATAAATTTTCGTGGTCATTTACTGATTTGAAACAGAGTCGAGAGCAGAATACGCTAACTACTATTTCGGTCGGTAGAAGTTAATTGAGGCTATTCAAGCAAAAGTTTCATCAAATAGCATAATAAAATTACAATTCAAAATTAGAATAATAAAACGACGAAAAATGTTCCAAAGCTCAAGTTGAAAATTATTTGTAAAATAATAATGTTACTCATATAGATTAGTACTATGGCTTGAAAAAATTGAAACATAATAGCATTTGCTCAGTCTAGACCTGATAACGAACTGTATTAAGATCAGTCCGCGAAAAATTTATAGAGTTTTAAATGAGTTTCAATTAGTGTGAGAAAGAAATAACAGTTTTTCTCCCAAATATAAAAAAAGAGTTGTTGAAACGAAAGCTGTGTAAGTTGTAATACTACAAGTAATAAACATTTTGCTGGTTAATAAAGAACTGAAATTATGATTCAGTGATGTCTTATATGGGAAAGAAAGTTTTTGGCTTTCTACTACTCCATCTTGATACAGAAAAAAAGATGAGGAAATCTTCCAAAGAAAGGAAGAAAGTAATCTATTTGAAAATAAGTAACTCTATAAATGGATGTGTAGATCATGCAAAGAAGTAACTTTCAGACACAAACTGAAAGAAAGTCCCCCTGAAACAGCTACTTTCATATAAACATTGAATTACACGAAAGAAAAAAATCTGAGAATTTAGTGCCTACTATTATGGAATTTTAGTATAGATACATCTATGAACGAAGTTCATAGATGTATCTATCAAGTTAGCAGTTCTATTTGTTAAAAAGGAAACAATACATATTTCTCGTTTAATGATGAAATTTATAAACAAACTGTTGGTACTCCATTAAGAGCTGAGATAAGCCCCATTTTGGCAGCATATGCCATGGATGACCTGCTGAATTTGGTTTATAGGTACTTCTCTACAATCTCTTTTCAATAAAAAAATATGTCGATGACATTATCATCTCCCTTCCAAAAGATGGAATATCTGAGATTGTGGACATCTTCAATAGTTATGACCCTTACATACAGTTTACCATCGAATCTGAAAACAACGAACAATGGGTTCCATTCCTTGACACTAAAGTAATCAGAACACCAGATAATACTCTACTCATAGATTGAAAGCTTATCAGTTCTGGTAGGTTCTTGAACTATTGGTCATACCATAAGCAATCAACGAAAATTAACTTGGTCAAGCAAATGAAGAACCGCGTTATACAGATTTCAGATCCTTCTTTTCATTTGAATAATTTAAATAAACTTTTCCAATTATTCACCAATAACTCAATAAGAAGATCTTATTTAGTACGTCAACCATTGACGTTCAAATCAATGATAACAACAAGTTGGATAGAAATCTTGTACAGTCCGACAATATCACAATTGGGGGTGATCCACCTCTAATTCCTATACTCTTCTCTTCTTTACCATACATCAGTGATATGACACCTAAGTAGCGCAGAATTTTCAAAAATATAAGTATAAAAATAGCTATCAGAACCATATTAACCATCAAAGAATAATTTCCATGTTTGAATTGTAGTAGTAAATATATTGGTCAAACGTCAAGGCTACTTAAAGATAGATCAGTTCGTATAAAAGTGATAGTAGGTTACATCCTGAGAGATATGCTCTCAGTAATCATGTTTTCATGGAAATGTAATTTATTTTACAATCAAATAATTGCCTAATTAGAAGATGAGACATTGATCGCCTCAGTGAAATCCAGAAATAATTCTGGATTTTTGCTAATATAATTCATAACATTTTTTTAATATTTGAAACAAAGTTCCAACCTCCCCTGGCTGGGTTTTACTTTTATTTAATAACACTTCTTCATTAACTTTTTACTCAAAACTAATAAGAGTGTGGTCAATTATTCAATTTCAATGTGATTCAATTGATTTTGGGTTTTCTCATTGATTTGCGTATATAACAGCAGATGTCTCTGATCATACTTGCACCATAACAGTTCTTATTTGTTCCATAGTTTTAACAAAGACAAACAAACACACTTTTTTCAAACTGAATCACATGGCAGCTGTCAGTGTCAATTGTTTGTTGTCTCTCTCTTTGTTCTTCAATCACATGGGCTTTACCGGTAATCCATAATTTTAAAAGATATAACGATTTTTAGTAAATTATTTCCATAATCTCTTTTATATCAGTGACGAGCCATCCTCTTTTAATGTAGTGACTTGTTCTATTGTATTGACATGATTCAATTGTTTAAATGTAACATTCTTTTCGACAGGGCCATCCTCACTTACAGTAAATTTGAGCCTTTCGTAATAACCTCATATTGTACTATCATTATACAAATTTTGTAGCTTTTCCTTGAAGATGATGCATCCCAGTGAATCAACTGCAGAGAGATTCCATGACTAGCTGGAATTATATCTCTTTGGTCGTGATACTCAGACGGTTCACACCGTTTTGAATGGACCATGCCCGGTACTGATGATGGGGCAAACACACCGAAACCGGGGTATCGGTTGGTCAGATCGACCAAACGAAATTAATTTCTGCTTTTCATAGTGGTTAATAACTTGCGACGAATCTTCCAAATCGAAGAAGTTGCACAGGTGCCTGATGGTTTCACTTCAACTCTCTACGCGGCATTAGTTGGGTTAGTTGTTGTTTTTTCCGTTGGGTATCTGCCACACGTACCTACAAAGTCGTAGGTCTGCATGAGAGGAAAGAAGTTAATCGACATAGCACTCGAGGAAGTGGCAAACCATAGACACGTTTTTCGGGCTTTCGACCCAAAAGTATGGTGCAGCCAAGTGTAAGGATGGGCAACACTTGGTTACCAAAAATACAAGAAATATAAATGCATGGAGCCACCAGCAGGAGCTAGCTGGCTTCTGCTGGTATATTTGCTGGGTCAGCTATTCAAATTGAAAGGGTATATTTTTAGATATTGATTTTTGGGAAAGAAAGTTTTTGGCCTGCTACTTCCCCATCTTGATACAAAAATGTGGGAATCTTTCAAAGAAAGGAAGCAAACAATTTCAAAAATTCACTCTATATAAAGATGTGTATATCATGCAATGAAGTAATTTTCAGGCACAAACTGGAAAAAAATCCCTCTCGAAACAGCTATTTTCATAGAAATATTGAATCACGCGAAAGAAAAATACTTTCGAAATTAATACTTTTATATGAACGCTGATTTATACGAAAACACATTTCTCTATTC